AGCTTCCAGCCTGAGTAACTGGGGACAGGTCCTGTGTCAGCCTAGAGTCACTTGTATAGTGAGATGGGCAGCATTTATAAATTTGAAAAATCAATCAATCAATCAATCAGTCCTTGGACACTTAAGGAAGCCCTGATTCTCAGGAAGAGCTGACTTCTGACCCTTATCCTAGATCCTCCATTTTAGACTTGAACAGTGCTGAATACTTGGTGTACTGTCATTTCTAGATGTTCTTTAAGAACATCTTCATGCAAACCAAATTATGGTAATTCGGTTCCAAGACAGACAAGATGATGAGTGACCTTCTTTAGTGCCTCCTGTTCTAATTTAGGGCTACAACTGGCACATCAGCCAGACCTGGACAAATGTCTTCTTGGCCCCAGCCTCCACAAGTGCTACCAGAAGGAGACATATCTCCAGGGGTATCCCCTCTCTCTACAAGATGTGAATTTGTTCTCCATGGGGGAGCATAACCCTATCAAGAGCCATTGGTACTGTCACACATTCAGCAGGCCTCTGAATAAGCTTATTCACTTATTTGCTTGCTTGCTTGTTTTGTATCCCGCCTCTATTTTTAGTCAACTCAAGGCAACATACATACTTAATGCTCCCTCCTCTTTTCCCCACAACAACCCTGTGAAGTGGGTTGGGCTGAGAGAGAAACCCAAAGTCACCCATTCAGATCTTTATTCAAGGAGCAAGATGGTTCTTTCTTTTCATATTTTCCCCTTCTTTTGCAAACGTCTATTCACCAATCCACAGCACCACTCCATCAGTCCTGGGTAGAAAAGGGCTGGGTTTGTTCTCCCACGTCCATGTTCTTAAAGACCATCTAGAAATGACAATACACCTAGCTATTCATGTCTTATGCAGCCAGCAAATTTAACAAACTCCATAGTTAATAACCATTCAATAGAATTCCAACTTATATTTAATGGCTATTCAATATATGAATGGTAACACAACCTGTACTACTTCAATCTCTTCTTCCTCTTTCCTTCATTCTTAGCTCCTTCTTTTTATTCTCCTTTTCTTTCCTTCTTGCACCTTGGAGCCTGAATACCAGGTATGCACTGAATGAGAGCCTGTGCAACTCCTGTGGGTTCCACCACAATACTTGTACCCTCAGCCTCCAGGATGACCCGGACTCCAACATTTGGGTCTATTCAACCTCCCAGGCTGCAGTGCCAATCTCAATGCTGTTTGGTTTCACTGGGTACTGTTTGGTTTCTCACCATTCAGCCTGACTCACAGCATAGGACTTCTTAGTTTTTATTTTTGTTCTAATGTGTTTTTTTTTAAATCTTGCTGGTGAATTATTTTCTAACATTAGCTTAAAACTATTCCATTCACTGTATTGTCGAAGGCTTTCACGGCCGGCATATGATGGCTGGT